AGCAGTGTCTGTTTTATATCATTATTAAAATTTTAAAAGAAATATATTTAATGAGCTACTTAATTAATCTTTAAACTTGCCCATGACATTTAATTCTTATTTTTAGTGAATGTACTTCTGAGCTTAGAAAGAAGCATTCAAGTTGTTCTTAATTTCCCTGTCTTTTTACTGATACATACTTCTATTTGCTAAAGAAAGAGAAGATGATGTTAAAGATTATTTTTCCTATGAATTACGCTAGAAGTAGATAAAGTAATCTGTACGTTGGGGCCCTCCCCCCCTCCCAGGGAAGACTACTGAAGCAAATTAGAGTAAGTAAAACAGAGCTGTGGATAGCAGGCTAGAAAATTACATGGCCACCATTGTAACACCACAACCTGTAGCAGCTGTCTTCAAGCCCCTCCCTCTCAGCCCAGCTCTGCTGGCCCATCCGGCAGGAATGAATGAGTTCTGCACAGCATTGTAAATGGTGCTGCAGACCCTAAAGATGTCACTGAAAACCGAAGGGAAAATACAAATTTTCAACTTCATGGCCATTACAAACCTCTTTACCTCTGAGATTGCATTAGCCATGTCAGGAGTACTCAGTCCCGTCTTATTCTGCATAGCCTATCCTTGTTGATAATGGAGCCTTTCCAAGTAGCAAAAGAATGTTACTGCAATCCATTTCCTAAGGGGTGAAAGCAAAGCCTTTTTGTCCCAAGAGGCAATTGAGCAACCACCAGTCTCTAGTTGAATAGCAACGGTGTGAGGCTGGCTACAGTTCCCACAGTTGCCTCTCAGAGTTTTACTGAATTCATATAAGATCCGTAAAAAAAAAGAAATGCAGTTATTGAGCTACCATCACACAGTTGTCTGTGGATGGAGACAACATTACAAAATGGTCTTCCTTTTCCACTGTACAGTTCTCCTTTTTAATTTGGTGTTTCAGTTATTTTTCTCATTTCAGAAAACAGAACAATGTAAAATATAACTGCATGCACAGGTAGTACTAGCTTCTCAACTCAATTCTTTCTCCTTGTATTTTCTCAATTCTTTATCAGGAAACATGATTCATATTACATAGACTTCTGGTAAAGGAATATTTCTAGTAAACTCTTTAACTGCGGTATGTTCATTAGATCTTAATTATTGCCATGTTAAAATCACTTGTGTGCTTCCATATTTAGCATGGTTATTCTTTCCATCTTCCATTTTTGTTTAGCTATTTCGGGGGGGGGGGGGGCAAAGAAGGTCTGAAAATAAATTACTGGAACCAGGGAAACCATTTTGGGTGGCTCTATTATTGAACCTTTAAAAAATCACATTTACCCAAGCCATTTTAAGCGTCATTCCCGTCGTCTCTGCTACTTTATTTTAAAGCAATTAGAAATGTTGAATCCTCACCGAATATGGTCGAGTTCAATATACTGTACTTTGACGGAGGAACTGGGAGTAATTTTCCATTAAATATTTCATCACAACACAAATTCTGCGATTAAGTGTTGGGAAAAAACCTTACATTGGTGATTTTAACTGTAGTTTGAGGTTAAAGCAATATAAAATCATCCGACCCCAGTTCTCTTTCTTCCTTTTTGCACTCCCCTTTCCAGCCCCACCCCACAATGGATGCTCGACTGTTTTTTCTCGGTCTCTTTGTCTGAAGGATGCAAACAGTCTATGGATGCTAGGGAAAAGGGGGTGGGGGAGAAATTACCTCATCCCATGTCGTTTGCACCAATCACAACTCTCCGGTCGTGGCTTCTCTGGGCAGATTGAGGGGTCTGGACCAACTGGAAAAGGCCACAGCCCATCCCCATGGTGACTGAGTTGTATATAGGGAGCTGCATCCGCCCATGTGCCGCAGGTTCTCTTACATCGACCGCCTAAGAGTCGCGCTGTAAGAAGCAACAACAAGCTCTCCTCTTCCTCTCCGCCATCCGCTCGGCAGCCTCAAAGCAGCAACCATGGTGAGAATTTGTTTTCCCTGGCTCTTTGTGGCCGTTGGGTGGGGTCAGTCTTCCAGGGTCTATTGGAAAATCTGAAGCCCCATTCCCTTTGGGACTTCTTTGGTGAAGGGGTAGCTTTACGCTTTGTTGGCAAGGTTAACCTTCGTCTCCCCCAAATCCTGGGGCCGGCCGCCGCCGCAGTGCGGAGCGCACCAGCCCAGCAAGAGCTGCGCCCAGGGCGCCGCAGAACCGGGGAGAACAAAGGCGACGTGGAAGCGTTTTTGTTATCTGAGCCTTTCCGAGCCACGGCAGCCCATCTGTTGGCGATGACAGGGTCTGGGGCAGGGAAGGAGATCGCGGCGTCTCCTGCCTGGTCGCCGGGTATGTGTACACTGTACTCGTGTGACCCCGAGAGGCTCTTTTCTTCCTCGCGTGTTTCCCGAGGGACTGAGAGGAGGAGTCGCCCAAAAGACCAGGGGTCGGTGGGTGTATGTTGGGGGCAGAGAAGGACTGGGACAGAGCGGAGCCTTGGGTTAGTTAAAAAAAAAAAAAAAAAAGTTCCCTCGCTGGTTTGTCGGCATTTTAGAAAGATACCCGTATATTAATGGGGGAAAGTGGTTAGTTTCTGTTGGTGCCGGCGTCAGGGCGGCGCAGGGGCGTTGTTTGTTTCTGGCTTCTCTGGCCTTGGAGCCACTAGGCGGGCTCACTCTTGCTAAACCTCTTCTGTCAAGAGAAGACTTAGTAAAAAGTCTTTCATCGTTGCAGAACTGTAGGCGTTAAAAGGCTTTTCATTCACTGATAAAATTATTTAGATGAAATAGTTTTACTTGCGGAGCAAAATCACAATTCACTTGACAAGCCCTTTAAAGTCTGGCCTTTGGCTACCCCACCCTGACTGACGAGAGAGAGAGAGAGAGAGAGAGAGAGAGAGAGAGAGAGAAAGAGAGAGGGAGGGAGGAGAGAGAGAGCCCCGCATGTTCAATGAGAAAGACCAGTGTGTGAGTGAGCCAGGGTACCCCAATGTTCAGGACCCAGGGAAACGCCCTTCCCTGCCCCTCCCCCCCATGTCAGTGACGAGACAATGGACAGACAATAGAAGTTGTAGCCATAAAGACCATAGAGAAGAAAATACCTATTGAATGTGATTAGTATGAACATTTTATGGTGAGTAGAAAAATCTCAATGAAAATAGGTACTATTTTGTTTTTTAAAATATATATTTCATTATTCTTTCACTGGGTTCTTTGTTTGGTAGCTTCTCATGTGATATTTGTTTCTAATTTAGGAGCTGTTGTTTTAAAGAAACTCATAAAAAATAAAAATACTCATAATTTTTCAGTTTTTTACAGTGGGGAAAATTCTGGAGAAACTTGTTTAAAAAGTAATGAAATTGCTGCAGACAAAGAAGAATTATACTCTGTGTCCAGCTGTCTTTTGTTCGAATGCATCTTCATTAATTCATTTCAATTTAGACATATGGTCCTAGCCTGGCTCAGAGGAGGAAAACTGGCAGAATGGCACAATGAGATCATGTAGGCAGTTTCTGGAAATAGAGCTTGCTCTGTTAAATAATGTAGCAGACAGTACAGGCTAGCACCAGGCACCACAAATTCAGCAAGGCAGGAGTCAGCCCTTGCGGAGCTTCCAACCCCCTGGTACAGATGGATTCTGCAGATAGTCTGCAGAAGGGTGTGGCTTCTAGCCTCAGCTGCAGTGCAGATGTCCATGTTGAAATACTAAATCATATTTAGAAGAAACTCTTATCTTTATTTAAAGGGGAAGGTGGTAGTAATATTGATTCCAATTAATGATTTGATTTTAAATCATTTAATTAACTTCATTTTATAAAATCTGTGCTTTGAATATTTTTTAAATATGGAAAATTTATTTAAGCATGCCTGTGGGAACAATGGACTTGCACCATACGCTAAACAGTGCAACATTATTCAGGCCACACCCATATGCAGCAGTTGTAGCAGGTGCTTTCTTTAAAATCATTTTTATCATGTTGGGGATATGACCACTGATAAATTTGAAGACAACCTGTATGTTACTAGAAATATTTTTTTAAATCTACTGAAAATTCAAAATGCTACTACAACCTAATATTACAATTTTTCTTGTTTCCTTTTAACAGCGTGAGTGCATCTCCATCCATGTTGGCCAGGCTGGTGTCCAGATCGGCAATGCCTGCTGGGAGCTCTACTGCCTGGAACACGGCATCCAGCCCGATGGCCAGATGCCAAGTGACAAGACCATTGGCGGGGGAGATGACTCCTTCAACACCTTCTTCAGTGAGACGGGCGCTGGCAAGCATGTGCCCAGGGCAGTGTTTGTAGACCTGGAACCCACAGTCATTGGTGAGTTGATCTCGGGGTCTGGGACAGGAGGGGTGTCCTGGGGGCTCTGTTGAGGCGGGGGAGATGACTCCTTCAACACCTTCTTCAGCGAGACAGGCGCTGGCAAGTATGTGCCCAGGGCCGTGTTTGTAGACCTGGAACCCACAGTCATTGACGAAATTCGCACTGGCACCTAACCGCCAGCTTTCCCCCCTGAGCAGCTGATCACAGGCAAGGAAGATGCTGCCAATAACTATGCCCGTGGACACTACACCATTGGCAAGGAGATCATTGACCTGGTCCTGGACCGAATTCGGAAACTGGTATGTTTCTTCTCAAGAATAAAGAAATTAATGAGCCCAAGGAAGACATTTAAAGTATGCTCTTTTTTTTTTCAAACATAGAATTGAAATGTAATAAAGAGTGGTAGATGAATTATTCATTGTTTGTTAAAACATGAATTATTTGAAATCATTTCATAAATTTTAATGAAGAAATATTTTAATGAAGAAACGCTGAGTTCTTCCAGAAAGGCCTACATTATTTTTTTAAGTGTTTCCTGTCAAAATAAGATTTATATCATTGGAATGTATGAAAAGTGAAAATATATCACAAAAAGCAATAACTATGTTTCCCCTATTCTTTTCTAACAGGCTGACCAGTGCACAGGCCTTCAGGGCTTCTTGGTTTTCCACAGCTTTGGTGGGGGAACTGGTTCTGGGTTCACCTCCCTGCTGATGGAACGTCTCTCCGTCGATTATGGCAAGAAGTCCAAGCTGGAGTTCTCCATTTACCCGGCCCCCCAGGTCTCCACATCTGCAGTTGAGCCCTACAACTCCATCCTCACCACCCACACCACCCTGGAGCACTCTGATTGTGCCTTCATGGTTGACAATGAGGTTATCTATGACATCTGTCGTAGAAACCTCGATATTGAGCGCCCAACCTACACTAATCTTGAATTGCCTTATTAGCCAGATCATGTCCTCCATCACTGCATCCCTCAGGTTTGATGGAGCCCTGAATGTTGATCTGACTGAATTCCAGACCAACCTGGTGCCCTATCCCCACATCCACTTCTCTCTGGCCACATATGCCCCTGTCATCACTGCTGAGACAGCCTACCACACCACAGCTATTGCTGAGGCCTGGGCTCGCCTGGACCAACAAGTTTGACTGATGTATGCCAAGCGTGCCTTTGTCCACTGGTATGTGGGTGAGGGCATGGAGGAAGGAGAGTTTTCTGAGGCCCGTGAGGACATGGCTGCCCTGGAGAAGGATTATGAAGAAGTTGGTGTGGATTCTGTTGAAGGAGAGGGTGAGGAAGAAGGAGAGGAATACTAAATTTAAAATGTCACAACGGTGCTGCTTTTACGGGGAAACTTACTCTGTTTTAAACATTGAAAAGTTCTGGTCTGATCAGTTCATTTGTATGTAGAGCAGTGTACACTCTCATATACAATTACTGGCCTATGCTTTAAAACACAATGCTTTGTTACAGATCCAAATTGTCAATTTCTCTGATGGGTTTGAATAAAGTATTCCCTGTCTTAAATGAGTTCAGACTTGTGTTTTCTATTTGCGTGTCTGAAAATATTTATGGACTTATTTATTATGTTAAGTAGAAAGGGTAAATGTTGACTGATATATACATATATTACAAAGTGACTTTATTTCAAATTATATTCATGTATTATAAAATAAATTATAAAGCCGAAACCGGTTTGGCTCAGTGGATAGAGCATCGGCCTGTGGACTGAAAGGTCCCAGGTTCGATTCCAGTCAAGGGCATGTACCTGGGTTGCGGGCACATCCCCAGTGGGAGATGTGCAGGAGGCAGCTGATCAATGTTTCTCTCTCATCGATGTTTCTAACTCTCTCTTCCTCTCGGTAAAAAAATCAATAAAATATATTTTTAAAAAATAAATAAATTATAAAATATATATCTAATATTATAATTAAATAATATCCATGCTATTCTTAAATTTTGACTCCATTCTAATAGTTACTTAAAATGCTAGTACTTTTGACAATTGACATTTGCTAATACACAGCCAATGTCTGATTGGTTGCTGAGTCTCATACAACTAACATAAAATTGTGAGTGTCCAAATGCATCATCAGGTCTTACAACCTTATCTTCACACCCCCTACTTGGCATGTGTCTAGTGCTATCATGCTTCCTCTGTCTGGGTTTGCAAAAGAAGTCTGCTCTTTAAGCAGTTTTCCCCTATGCTCTACCTAGTTCTTTCTTTCCAAACTTATTTGGAATGTGACAATGGAAAATCTTCATAAGTTTATTCACTCTATGTGCTCTCCCAGGAGCACGTCCTTGCCTTTCTCTTTCCCGTGCCCCTCCTCCCTACATCCCCCCATGCAAGCGTAGGCATCAGCACCAACATGGTAAGAGAAACCGTTTTGGACAAATGTTTTCTTCAACAATAGAGTTCACCTGCTAGTCCAACTGACCAAAAGGCTAAGGATCCAGGATAACAAATTGTCTTGTGCTATCATGTTACCTTGTTCTGGTAAAACATCCAGTGGTGATAAAATTTTGTTTGTGTTAGTATCAATAGCCTATTTATCTTTCCTTTGACACTGCCAACTAAGGGGCGTAATACCATTGTAGTTACTGGAATCTGAGTTTAAATGTAAGTTAATGGAAATACAGTCATGTGCCACGTAACATTTCAGGCAGTAACAAACTCATATAAGACAGTGGTCCCATACATAATGAAGCTGAAAAATTCCTGTCACCCAGTAATGTAGCCATTGTAACATTCTAGCATACCACATTACTCATATTTGTAGTGATGCTGGTGTAAACTTACTGTGCTGCCAATTGTATAAAAGTACAGCACACACAACTGTGTACAGTCCATAATACTTGATAATAAACAACCATGTTACTAGTTTATTTACTATACTTTTTTCATCCTAATTCATTAGTAATTACTCAGTAATTTCATGACTAGATTAGCAGAATGACTTTCAGTACACAGAATCAAGCTCTGCTTTTCCAGCCGAGTGTGCTCCTTTTTCTCCATAGAGGTAGCTAGACAGAAGTGGGTTTCTTAATATTACCACCCTGTTGCTGTATCTCTCCTCCAAGTGATTGGAAAGAAACATCGATGTGTGAGAGAAACATTGATGGGTTACCTTCCTGTACATACCCCCACTGGGGACTGAACCTGCAGCCTAGATATGTGCCCTGACTGGGAATCTAACCTGAAACCTTTTTGGTGTATGGGGCGACATTCCAACCATCTGAGCCACCCAGCCAGGGCTGCTCAGCAGTTTTTATTAGAAGCCAATGCAAATATATCTGATGAACAAAAAATAAAAGTCCTCATTCAGAAAAAAACAACAACAATGTGAAAAGTAGATCAAGTGTAAGTTTTTTTAATGTTTTTTTTTAAATATATATTTTATTGATCCCTCACAGAGAGGAAGGGAGAGGGACAGAGAGCCAGAAACATCAATGAGAGAGAAACATAGATCAGCTGCCTCCTACACACTCCCCACTGGGGATGTGTCAGCAACCAAGGCACATGCCCTTGACCAGAATCGAACCCGGGACCTTTGAGTCCACAGGCCAATGCTCTATCCACTGAGCCAAACCGGTCAGGCTTTTTAATGTTTTTATTGATTTCAGAGAGGAAGGGAAAGGGAGAGAGAAATAGAAACATCAATGATGAGAGAGAATCATTGATAGGCTGCCTCCTGCATACCCCCTATTGGGGATAGAGCCTGCAACCTCAGGCATATGCCCTGACCGGGAATCAACAGTGACCTTCTGGTTCATAAGTCGATGCTCAACCACTAAACGATACTGACAAGGCCAAATGTAAGCTTTTAATGAGCATTCCTAGAAACTAGCTAAGTATAAGAAATATATGTATGCAATGATTTTTCATTGAATGAGTCAAGTGCAGGATAAAAGAGATACAAGTATAAAATCAAAGGGGAAAAGAGCTCTATGATCCTAATTTTAATTGAAAATAGTATGAATTTGCTATATATTTTCTATTATGAAAGAAAACCCCCCACATTTTATAGCTTTGTTCTTCACTGACAAGGCCTAGGACCACTGTAGCAATTAGTATCCCTAGCATTCAGATGGTTGTCTCTAAATACTATTTCCCACTAAAAAGAACCAGGTCGTTTTAAGAGAAAAGAGTGGTTCCAAGCTTGGAACAGGAAATATACAAGTTCAGCCTCAAATACTTTCTCATTCCAGAAAGCAAGGAAGATATCAAAAACTACAATAATACGTACAGGAGTCAAGTTGAAGGAGCTTTCATTGTGGTACAATAGTGACTGCAATGGATTGAACCATATAAAATGTTAAAATCCATGAGCTCATAATATGTTGTGTTAGTTTCATTTAAACAACAATGGAAAACAGTATGGCAGCTACTTAAAAACATTAAATACAGAATTGCCATATGATCCAGCAATTCCATTTCTGAGTATATATTCAAAAATTGAAAGCAAGGACTTGGACAGATATTTGTATACCTGTGCTCCTAGCAGCATTATTCATAATAGCATAAAAGTGAAAGCAACCCTAATATCTATTAATGGATAAACAAAATGTGGTATATACATACAATGTAATATTTTTAAAAAAATATATTTTCATTGATTTCAGAGAGGGAGGGAGAGGGAGCTAGAAACATCAATGATGAGAGAGAATCATTGATTGGCTTCCTCTTGCACGCCCCCTACTGGGGATCAAGCCCACACCCTGGGAATGTGCGCTTGACCAGAATCGAACCTGGGATCCTTCAATCTACAGGCCGACACTGTATCCACTGAGCCAAACCGGCCAAGGCCAATGTAATATTATTAATCCTTAAAAGAAAATAAAATTCTGACACATGCTACAACATGGATAAACTTTGAAAACAATA